GTTGCAAAGACATGATTCTTTATGTCTCTATATCTCAGTAACCTTCAGACTATGTTAGTCTTGCTAAAGGCAAGGAAGAGGCCAAAGCTTAATTTGTCTTCCATGTGGGTTTAGTTTGACTGATACCAAACAGCCATGATTTCTAAAAGCCAGTCAAATGCAGGATATTCTCTTAGATGCTGGACAAGGGGAAAATGCTGTATAGTCTCACATACAGCAGGCCAACTCTCTGATGTGAGCAGCATCAAACACAATGAGAACCAACTCACTACATACCACATATACTAATAAACAATGAAAACTCATACGAATTGCAGTTTTGAAATAAAAAAAAGATCACTCCTGGAGTCTCTTTCATGCCATCCTGGGCAACTACCCGAATTAAAAATGGCTACCTTAAGGAGGGACTGGAGCATCTTTGATTGCTCTTGCATTAGAGAAATCAAGAGAGGCTGAGGTGAAGGGCTTTGGTTTGGCCTCAAAGCAGTTTTTGAAAAGCTTCTGAAGACTCCTGAAGGAAAAATAGAAACCACTGCAACAGATGATCGCTCATACTTATAGGTTCTGCTCATAGTTTCACTGCTTTTTACCATTTAAAATATGGCATTTATTTTACAATTCATTTTTATCTAGCTTTATTTAAAATATATTCAATTAATTTATGGAATATACTTATTTAATTTCTATTAAAGACATAAATTAAGTGATAAAAAGAAAGTTCTTATTATGAAAATATCATTAAAACAGTTCCAGGCTCCTCATTTCCTGAAATAAACCCTGTCTGTGAGGACAAGGTTTGACATTTTTGAAGACTTCTTTCCTTATGAGTAAAGAAATAAGATAACTGCATATTTCTATGTATTGAGATCAGAATGATTTGAAAAACTTTGTTTTTCCAGTGAGACAGATGCCTTAAACAACAGAGAGCATTATGTCCTTTTTTTCAAAGGCCAGACCTATTTAAATTTTTGTGAATGGATAAACTTTTTAAGGAAAGAACCGTCTCCATTTTTTCTTGTGTGTTCTGAATTAAAAAAAAAAAGAAAAAACTGTATTAGCAAAAAAATGTTTGCTAACAGAGTTTTCCTAATTTTTGTGCTTAGATTGTATTTAGAAACCAAACCAAAACAGGAGAAACACTTGAAATATTCCTCTCTTACCAGTTTTGGTGAAATATTTGGATGACATCTTATACGCAATAAAAAGTCAGACCTGCCAACACTTAATCATTAATCACATTTGCATTGTGCGAATGTGTAAAAAAGTCATTCTTAAATTCTTGTCTGTTATATCACATCATCTCTGGATGTAACATGTTGCAGAGCCCTCCATTATCTCTCCATTCTCCATAGAGCTCGCAGTGGGAGCGCCTTTGTCATTGCAACAGATTCACCATCACTTCCACTGCTGCACCAGCGCTAACAAGGCCCACGTGCAGCATGTCTTACTCACACGGTGGTGACATATTGAATCTCACCACGTTGACGTGCTCGGCTGATCACAGCGTCATGCTGGCAGCTATTAGAGCTCCTATCAGACTCACTGAGAAGCAGGCTTTGATGGCAACACAGTCTGACACATGATGATTAGAAGGTGAAAGGATTTTCTTTTTTTAAGTGACAGAAAGATATTATGTGGCACCACAGAAATTAATCAGGCTACACTTTTTTTGAGCCTTATTATTTTCAAATACACTCACTGAACTAAGTATCTGATGTGTATTTGTTCATCCATATTTGATTGATCTTATCTAAACACCACTAGTTCAGTCTTGCCAAACTAAATAAAGGTGAGTCATGCCCTTGGTTTTCCTGTCAAAGGCCCAAGCTACTTAGGTAGGGAACTCATTTCTTTAGATTTTCTTTTATATTAAACCAGCATCTTATTATTATTCCAATATCTCTACCTCAGTATCCTGGGTCCTCCTCCGGTGCACTCAACTTTTTTCTAGTTGTTTCAGTTAAAACAGCGCAGTTCTGTTGCCCCGTAAAGCTGAAGAGGAAATAAGAATTTGTGCAATTAGCTGCTGTAATTTCTTGTTACTCTCTAGCCTAATTTTTCACAACAGGATATTAATAAATTAATCTGGATAAATTGTCAAATTAATTTAGCATACATATAAATATGTTACGCAGTTTTTATAATTAAGGGCAAAAATATAAAAGTGGGCTTAATTATAAAATTTAATACTTCCTGATTTTCAAAATAATCTTGGTAAATTTTTTTAAATCCAGTTTAAATTGAAAAATTATATCCACCCAACATGTCTGCAGCAATACAATATATGACAACTCTAGTTTTTTGCATTTTTTTTAAATATAAAAATGTATGTTTTAAATCTAAAGAACAATCCAATTAAAACAACAGATAGCTTTTATTCTGAAATATAAAGGCCATAGTTTTGCCTTGGAATGGCAAAGTTAACCTGTACTTACATAGCTGACACAAGAGGGGGCTATTGGTTTAACTTTAGGATTTAATGTAAGCATCAGTTTTTTTTTGTTTTTTTTTTCAGAGAAATCCACAAGAAAAAAAGCCTTTTTCTTTTTTCTAAAGCTCATTTCGTGCTTTTATTGTGTAGTGATTTATCTTTTAAAATGAATCTAGACACAAGAAAAGAAACTAATAACTAAGATGTGCATCAAAGCAAAACAGACAATGTCTGTCTTAAAAGTATTTTTTTTCCAATATTTGTTTATTTTTAGCTTAAAACTACACAGAAATGATCTTTGCTGGTATATAAATACAGTGAGACAACATCAGGAGTTACTAAATCTTTATTCAAATCAAACAGCAATTAAAAACATTAAGGCAAACCAGCAGCAAGCTGCAAAATAGAACTTAACAAGGCTTGATACGTTTGTAAAAAAAATTTTAAATTTTTAAGGCAGAAAACAATGGACTACAGGCAGTGTTGTTGCATTGTTGCCTCAGTGTGCATGCTTTATGTAAGATTTCATATATGAGAATTTGAGCTAACGATGGTTTCTACTTGGTGAAAACATAAAGTGCTATTATTGGGTTGTGTTTGTCAGAAATAAAGCTGAAAGCAAAGCAGCTCACTGACCTGTTGTTTTGGGGGGTTGTTGTTGCAAAATCAGAAGTTTAAACTGAAGAACTTAAAATGTTTATATGACAAATAGAGGTTTTAATCGCAGTAAGCAATAATAGTAGAAAATGCTGCTGTTCTGTGATCTATTTATGCTAAACTCAATATTTTTATATTCAATAATTATTTTTCATAAATAAGTAAAAAGAAATGTGAACAATAATTTCAAAATAAGCTATTACAGCTGTCTATATAAAAACTTATTGTATATGTAAAGCTCATTTCTGGCAACACATCCCAGAATTTTATTTTGACAGATGCCAGCATTATTTTTAAAGCCTAAGCAGAACTAATTTCCAAACTCTGAATTCCTGAATCACTTCTAATCAGGAGCTAAACAATAACTGAAATCATCACAGTCTATGAGACAATGCCTGATAGACTATTATATAAAATACATTACTGAAGAACTAGATAAAATGTTGAGTCATTTGTTTCTATGGTGTTTGCTGTCTTTCCTGGAGAACAGAGTGGAAATATTCCATCAGACAAATAGTTATTGTAATAACATAAAGCGTATATGACCACTTTTAAACCAAAACCTGTAGATGCATGTGGTAGATATCCATATAAATGTTTTTGTGCCTGTAGTGTTTTAATAAAGAGATGTGACAGGTAAGAGATCCCTCAGCCAACTTGGAGAGAAAAAAAATCAGAGCTGAAATCTAAGGATCGGATTCTGGGAGTTTGAACTCTTTCTGCACTCTAAGCAGAACTCGTAGGAAACTGTAAATCCTGTAGTGTGAAAACACCCTGCCTGAAAACAGACCGAAATGCCTGTTTTGATTTATAAACCACACATTCAGAGATGAAACTGTAGGAATGTAAGGGATTTAAATCAAGAAGTTTCCATCTTGTGTGTGTCTTCTGTAAAGATATAAAGCTCCAAAGAGGGGATGGACTTCTGTGTAGTTTCATCTAAATCCTACTTCTTTCATTTGGAAATATTTTTTACTTTTTTAAAGACTATGAAGACAATCCCAGAATGTCTGAGAAAGTGTCATGTATTAAGAAGTATTCTGAGTGTGGATTTTTCTCCACTATGCCTGATTGTGAAAAATATTTTTAAGCTTCAAAATCTGATTATAAATGAAAAGCTTTTTACAGGCAAAGATGATCCCCCTGCAGGGAAGAGGAGTTTAACATTATTTCTTGGTCATAAAGACCTAAACCACAGAACAAAAAGCATTTCTGGAGAAGATGATTCCTTACCTATAACTACGGTATAAAGGAATGATCAATGGATCATTATTTATAGCTAAAACCAATATGTTCATGGTAATGAATTTAGTAAATAAAAAATAATAATTTTTCGTTGCGATCACCGAGTCCGGGACTGGCAATTTTTGCCCAAATATAGTAACACCTCACTCCTGACATCTTCCGAAAGTTACGTCATAGTGCAGTAAGCCTAGAGCCATTCTCCCCGCTTTACAAGAAAAATCAATGGAAGCTACTAGACAGTCACAACAATTATTTTAGATTTCGAGAAGACTTCACCATTGAAATTCGCCAGAGCTATAGAAATATATATAGTTAAACTGACAAGGCCCTGGTGCATGGCAGTTTGAATGTTGTAATACATAAGGTAAAAGTGAAAAAAAAATTTGTTATTTCACTTTTCCAATTCATGATCCACAAACGACGGGTTCGTCGTTGGATTGCCAAATTGAAGAGGGAGGATTTGCCATCGAACTTCTGGCCAGAGAAAAAACACGTAATATGTAGCCAACATTTGGAAGAAGAATGTTTTCAAGATGACTTGGATAATCGCTCGTTGTGACAAACACCAGATACAACATTGGGACTTGATCAACAACCGATACCAGACTGTGACGTCACAAACCGGTAGGTAGCAGTAGTGTTCTTTGACAAACATGAATGTCTCCGGTAAAACACATTCAAATGAAATTACTCTTAACTAAAAAAACTTATCATTTATTGAACAGTATGTAATAATTTCATATTTAAAGTACTTTTAGAAGTTTGAATTCTGAATATGACCAGACTCTTCCTTTAAGATCATTTACATACGGACTTTATAACCATTCTGGCAAAAATGTATCAATATCCACGACACCTCTTTGTTTTTTTATTAATTTGTTGGAAAATAAATGAATGCCCCATTGTTGATAGCAGTACGTAGCTGACCGTTAACTCCTGTCATGATAAATAAACTCAGCAATATCTTTGGATTCACACTCGGGTGAAAAAAGCTGCAGTTTTACAATAACGATATGTTACTTCTTGAGGAAACCCCCAGGAGTCCCTCCTTATGAGCTGTAAGAAGTGACCAGAAGACTTCATCTTAAGTTTTTAATTTATACTAAAATTAATATTTTCCTTTTGGACTGACCTTCGCAGTGGAATGCAGTTTCCAGCAAAGTATGGTCATCTGAGATCTCATCATATTGATGTTAAGATGAGCCTTATGAGTCTAATTTAATCTGACCAGCATCCACTAGATTAAGAATCATAGCTAAATGTAGTTTAGATTATTTTAAGTGGTGTTGCTTTCACATGTCCATGAATTAAACACAGAAAACAGAAGACCACAGGTCAAATCAGCATGTTAAATTGCTGTAGTTAACACAGACCACAATCTATGAGATGGAAGCCAATTGATCAGTCAGAAAATGATCAGATATCCCCTCCTGTGAAAGTGCAATCATGTTTAGACAATAATTTTAGCAGTTTGGTGGGAAGATATAATCCAAAACTATCCTAATAAACCACAAACCAAATGCAATGAAATGGGACACTATCTGAACCCTCCCATTTATGAGTTGCTGTGAGATGTTGCTGGTCACAAACAGCTCAGTCTTTCGTCTGGAGAGCCCAACCTCCAGAAACCAAAACCATGAATAAACCCCACTTCAGGAGTCAAAGATGCAGAAGATTCAGAAAGATTTTACATCAATATCAACTTTTCTTTTCTTTGCACACAATGTTAGGTGAAACGTTTGTTCTGAAGCAGAAAAAAACAAGAGATCAGAGTGATGTTTGAGTCTGTTTCTACCATCCATCATTTCTTTCTGTGTTATTTGCAGTTACACCCCGTAATCCCTCGTTACTGGTTTCACTGGGTTTATGGATCAGTCCGTTTTCTTGGCCCACGCCATGTCGTCCGATCGTGGTCTCTGCCCAGTCAGGTGTTCGATCAGTTGCTCCATGCATCTCCAAAAGCCCAGCTGGTCCAAAGGATAGTTGCACCAACCTGGATTGAAAAAAACAGTGGAAGCAGAGACAGCAAGGATGAATAAAAAAAGATGAGAAAATAATCATAT